ATAAGGGGACAGACATTACATCAGAACTGAGTAGCAGTCTGCATGGGCAATCAGCTACTGCTCACTGGATGCCATGACAACATCCAGGTGCTGCAGTATCGATAGGATTAGCTGCATCAACCCCCCCTCCCCCCAACAGCCCAACAACAAGACTGGCATATCAGTGTGAGGTCATCCATCAGATGACCTCACACTGCTCATGTGACCTCCTCTGAAGCATTCCTGCGAACTTTATCAAACTCCTGTTCTTGTTTCCCTTCTTAACCAGGGGGCAAAAGGTCATGCAGAACTCCACAACTGATAAAAAAAAAAAGCCTGAAGCCTGAAGCCTTTAATCCCAGACCCTTCAGGGCCTGTGGGAGGAGGGGGGGGGGAGTTGAGAAAGATCAAGGAAGAGAGGGAGAGGAAGGGGTCTCAAGGAAGAGGGGAAGCGGGCTGGGCTACAGTAACGCAAGAGTAGTCTTAAAATGCTCTGTCAATATCCGCAACGGTGATCCTTACCATCACTCACATTTGTGTGAGGCCCCTGCTGGCCATAAATAGTCATTACACTGGGAAGAGGCAGGGGGGACGTATTTTGCAAGGACCAAGAAACATCAAACCCAACCCTGAACACCCCCCCCTTCCAAAGTGCAGTGCTGTGGGTGGAGTCTTAGTAGGTCTCAACAGCCCAATTTATATTACTGTAACTGCCCCTCCCCTGTCACAGTCCACATGTGCCGTAAACACCCCCCACGTCACCTCACACTTACGCCGGCTCACGCTTGCCGCCTGGGAACCACACTGCGGACAGTAACAGGCGAAGGCGTGACCCTCCACCAGCACGCGCACACTCACATGCACGTGGATTTAGCAGCCAGGCCTGAACATCACACACAGCACGGTGCTGGCAGGGCAGTCAATGTCGACCACAACCTGCCTTCCACACGATGAAGATATCAGCAGGGGGCCTGGGGAGAGTGCATGGTCTCACTGCATTCATTTCACCTCGTTATCTGTAACATTGAAACAAGCTGCATGAACTACGCTAAATAAGGATGGGGGGGGGGCACCCCTGACCCAGCCAAACACCCTCACCCCCGCAAGCTGGGTGGCATTCCTGCAAAAACATAGCCCTGGGGGGCTGGTGGTGCAGGCTGAGGCGTTACTCACACGGCCCCCGAACCACCTCCCCCTTTCAGACCTGCTGCTACCTGAACATCTGCCTGCGCTCTGCATGGCACACAGGCCTGTCTGTTACTGCGGGACCGAGTGCCACGCCCTGCCCGTCCAGCTGCGGGCCTGCCGACACAAGCAGGGCTGCATGTAGCATTTTCAGCTATGATCCTTTTAGTATTGCGACACCAGCTAGGCTATCCATCCATCCATCGACTTCCCACTACTGCCTGTCCTGAAGGGTCATATATATACAGTATATATGCTATGGTGTGACCATTTGTTTTCCATACACCTGTGCAGACACAAACATCCAAGATCATATGAATGCATAAGGAAGAGCACAGTGAGTGTGCAGGGAATGCAGCAGGAATGAGCGCCTGCTTGTGCAGTCCTGCATGGTAAAGAGCTCTAATCATGCAGGAATGCATCAGTCTGTCTCTCAAGCCACGCCCTCCCAGGACACCGGGGGGGGGGGGGGGGTCCTGCATGGAGACCTGAGGGCAGAGCTCCGTGCCGGTGTCGTGCAAACGGCCCAGTCAAGCCGGTTTACCTCACCGCGACACCGCAGTAAAGCAGGGCCAAAGTCCATGTTTCTTATCAGGCAAGACATCCAGCTACCTAATGTTTATGCAGCATGTCCTGAGCAAGGGAGACGGACCAAGGACAGGATTGTGGGTAAGAAGTCGCCCCCATTTCTCAGTTAAACTTTCCATCCATTCATGCATCCATACATAGAGACTCTCTTGCAGTAAGATGTGGTTGTAAAGGGGGGAGCTTCTTACGCTCCAATGTCACCCCCCCCCCCCCAAAAAGGCTGACCGCTGGCACGACAGGAGATCACTGAGTGGGAAACACAGGCGGGAGCAAAGAAGCGCCATACCTGAGTGGACGGCCATGGACGTCAGCCTCTCCTGCATGCTGGAACGCCCATGCAGGCAGGCAGACGGGGTCAGAGGAGCACCGGCGCGAGCGGGGGCTGCGGGGGCTGCAGTGCCGTCCCTCCGGTGCTCAGCAGAGTCGGCGGTGCCCCGGCCGCGCACGCTTCCCGTCAGCTCGCACGCACCTCGCCGCCTCCCTCAGCATTTCCTCTCTATTTGCAGTCCTGCCTTTCCTTTAGCCCCAGAAACTCCTCTGACTCTCCGCCTCCTCCCAACTGGGAGACCACAGGAGCCGCTGACATGGGCTCCGACCGCGGGCCCTCCCCCAGCGGGAACTCCCCCCGCCCGTGCCCTCCGGCCCTTCAGGAAGGCTACCCAGGAGCTGTGGGATTTTACCACATTCCAGGCTGAGCTCTGCCCCCCCCCCGAACAGTGACGACCCAGCCCCGGTTATGCAAGCCTTCCCTACCCACAGTCCCCAGGCGCCTGGCCCCGCCCATCCACCCTCGCTTAATCTTTTCTTAAATCTCACTCTCCGCCTCCCATGGCTTGTGCTAACCCACAAGCAGGCCATGACAGGCGGGCGGGCGTGCAAACGTGCGCTCATTCTCTCTCACGGAGGGGAGCATCAAACCCTTGAGGGACACTCTCAGATCCCTGCCCCCCCCCCCAATTGCATGGAATCACATGGGTCCTGCCACATCCCTCAGGGGTGAGAAACTCTGCTAGAAGTTTCTGCGTCGGCCGTTGATGGACTGAGAAGGCTGCAGATTCCAGAACCAAGCAGAGCATGACATAAAGGCCCGGTTCTCTCATGGCGTAGTACGCAGAACCTGCTGGAACGTGCCTGCCGCCTGGGGAGAAAACAGGAGCAAGAGGCAGCAGAGGAGGATGGAAAGCGGCTGCCATGGCCCCCCCCAGCCTCAGAGCTGCACGCTGGCTCCGCCCCCCCTCGTCCGCCTGCTCCCCATGCCAGACTCCGCCACCCTTCATCACTCCATCCCTACCTCCAAGCTCTTCTCACTCCCAGGTTCAACCTCCCATTTCTTCTGTGCCAGAGCATGGACTCTGGACTGTGTGAGCCAAGCCTCTCCACCAACACCCCCGCACCCCCCCCACCACTCACTCCTTCAGGTCTTCACTTCCTCAGAACATGCCCTGACCTTTCACCAAACCCCCCGGCCATACATGCCGCTGCGTTACTGCAGGCTCCACCCTAACTCCAACACCCCAGTGTGCTGTTTTCTCCATTACAACCCCAGTTCTGTCATCTGCACATTTATAGTTTCCGATACCACGGAGCGGTCAGCCACGATGAGAAACGGATCTCATGTGGGCTCCAGCTCTACGACACACCCTCCTATTTAAACTTCACCTTTGCTCACATCAGACCTGGTCTCAACACCAAATACAAATAATCTCTCACACACTGGGAAACTGGGGCACTATAAATGAGTCACAGTTACACTAAGTCTGCCTGATCCTCTATTGAGGTCTAATTTGTTGCGTTTTTTGGTGTAAACCGAAGTCCACCATGTACACCTCACCATATTTGGCTAAACCGCTCTCAGAAATACTAAACCTAAGTCACACAGCTCTAATTTACAAACAGTATTTCTTTATTATGCAAAGTGCTGGACGATTATGAAAGCAGCGTCAGACGGACACAGGAGCATTTGGGGGTAAGAGCCTTGTTCAGGGGCCCAATGGTAACATCACTTGGATAAATCTGGAATTTGAACCAGTGACCTTCTGATCACAGGGACAGCATCCTAACTCTCTGAGCCACACGCTGCCTCCATTATTTACTATTCTCTTGGCTAGCTTAGAAGGTTTCCCAATTGTTCGAGGGATGTAAGCAGAAATAGTTCTGGTTTCCTTGGGTTTTTCCTTGATGACCGCCACTGTATGGGGTCCATGCCATCGACACAGATGTTGCTTTGACAGCGTGGGTGAGACTGCGGTGGTCAGACAACAATACGTTCAAATCCTGAGGTCAGTGTTCACGCTTCCTCATATGTGCTGTAAGGTGCATAAGAATTTCACCAAGGAAAACTTTAAAATTCACCTAAAAAATAAGGTCGTGATGTTGTAATGGTGGAAAACAGGTCCAGTGAATGAACAAAGTGAGCATTAATCACCAGGTAAAAAAAAAACTGTCCATTAACTGTCCCAGTGTATAAAGTTTCCAGAGAGATCCGCACTCAATGTAATAAGAAAAAGACATCCATAAAAACACAAAGGAGGGTGATCCAAAGAAATGAGAAACTGGAGAGTAAAGGGGACAGAGACAGAGACAGAGGAAGACAGAGAGCGACAGGACAAGGACAGAGAGAGAGAGAGAGAGAGGGGGAGAGAGAGAGAGAGAGAGGGGGGGAAAGAGACAGAGAGAGGGGGGGAACAGA